GTTCTATATAGTGTGTAACTGTTAATATAGAGCGTTATTAAATTTATTGCTAATGCAATCATATGGCACACTGACTTCTGAGGAAATTTTAGATGAACATGCTGCAGGTATTACAGGTACTGCGCTGCAGTGGTTTGTATTGTATCTGTCTAACAGACTCCAATTTGTTCATGTAATGGAGAGTCTTCTTCACACATTAAGGTTAATTATGGAGTTCCACAGGGTTCAGTGCTAGGACCAATTCTGTTTACATTTGCGCAATATCTCTAAAATGAGAAATATCCTTTCTCAGAGTGATGCTGAAAAACTAGTTCATACATTTATTACTTCAAGGCTGGACCAGTGTAATTTGTTATTATCAGGATGTCCTAAAAACTCCCCGAAAAGCCTTCAGTTAATCCAAAATGCTGCAGCAAGAGTCCTGACAGGGACTAGAAAGAGAGAGCAGATTTCTCCCATACTGGCGTATCTTAATTTCTCCTACAATGGGTGACCATAAGGTCTGGGCTCACAGTTAGTAATAGAAGGAGTAACTCAGTCATTTGGGAAGGGCTCAGACTAGAGCTGGTACTCTAATGCATCAAAACAGCCAGTTTACATCATCCCAAGCAATCTCCACAGTGATTCTACTGTACAGCAATGCACAAGTAGAAATGGAAGCAAGACTTCGATGTTGAATGTGTGAGTCAGAGCTGACACATGTCAACCAAAAATAAATCTTTGGAAAAAAGTTAATCTGACTTCACACCTGTTTTTAAGCTTTATGAATATGGTGAACTTGAAAAAGCAGATGTTTAACTGAAGTTTCTGTTGTTCCATGAAAACAGAAAAAACGATTCACTTAATATTGCAAGTCGACATCTAACTGTAGTGAAGCAGTCTAAGGGATTACTTTGTGTTCCAACAGTTTAGAGTGCAGAGCGCTGCAAAATGAGAACAGACGTGTCAGACTGAGTAAACTGTTTTAACATTTAGACCAAACTAAATACTTGGAGTTTATGTGGTCTAACCAGCAGATGGGTTAACATAACATATCAATATTTAATGTGTCCAAGTTAGAAAGGCCAACAGACCTTAATTTATTATTTAGTTGCTGTATAAAAAAAGCCTTTCCTTTATGTCATCCAACCTCTGGATCCACTCATAAGCTACGTAAAATATAGTATATGTTAATAAATATCCATTTTCTGATCCAAAAATTATATTGTTGTCATTGACATCACTAGAAATATCAGATTACAAACTGACTAAAGTCTCACCATTCCACTGCAGGTCTGTTGGTGCCACAGGATATGTGAATGTTTGAAGGATACACAGGGTTTTGTTTTTCATTCATGAAATGCATTAAGGTGCCCACACTTCTTTAATGAAACGATTTTGTAGTAAAATATGACCATCAAGATGTAAACAAAGTTTGAAATCTGAGATAAGTAATGTGGCTATATAAACACTGTCAGCCTGCTGCTTTCAGAGGCTTCACAGTCGTGTTATTTGCATCATCCAGTCAGCAATGTACAATTATTTCCACAGGTTATTGGAGCATGGTCCATGTTGTTTGTTTTATCATTTTTGTGCATCACAATGTAAAAAAGAAGATGCCCAGAAAACACAAAACATTTAGTGAACTTGATTTGATACATTTGTGTTTTTCCCCAGCTTTCAACTGTTGGTACTCACTTTACTCAGATTTACTCACTTAGACAAGCGTTTTGGTAACTTGAATTTTCTTGTTTGTCTAATTACAATATCCCTGCGAGGTTGACAATAAAAAATAGCTCCAATGCATTTCGATCTTGATAAAACACAGACTGCACCATCCTGGCTTTAGAGTCCTTTCACAGGGAGACAAGTGAATAAACCATTACATTATGAAAGCACTCATCACTTTGACTAGAGAAGTCAGCGTTAATCGTGTTGCTATATGTTTATTTAAGGAATGCTGAGTGAAAACATTTTCATTAAGTGATGCCCATTTGTTTTTCAAAGCTAGAGTATATACACATCCATACACTGGAGTTTCACAGTAACTATAGTGAACAAGACGAGTTAAAACTTATATATCCACCTTAGATTTACAAGCAGTCAATTTGATTGGGTGGTTTACAGACATGTGCAAGTGTATGTACAAAGTGCATGCCCGTACATTCACAAGGATGTACTCGTGCATTATGTTGTTATATACATGGTTTCCTCGAGGGAAACTAAATGCTTCTTCTGTAATAGTCTTCTTTGTAACTCAAACTGCATTCACTAGTGCGCCCTTCCTCCATTCCTTCTTTTTAAGAATGTACCAGATTGTTGACTTGTCCATTTATTCTGATTTTCAGACTAATAGAAAACTTTGGACCTCATATTGAGAGGTTGATTGAAAAGCTACTAAATCCAAGTCCAGCACTTGGAACCAGATCTTTTATCTACTAAATTTGTTGTGGAATAAAGAGAGAACATGCTTTTTTAAAGCTATTTATGAGTTGCTCAGTTATGTTTGAGTATTTGAAAATGGGCAGTGAATCTGAACCAGATGGAATAGCTGTGATTCCTAAATGAATGCCTAATCTGAAAGTTTGGACTTCAATCACATCTTGATTGTTGGATTTATTTTTATTATTGTCTGTGGTGGGGTACAGTGGCAGGACTAAAAGAAATGTTAAAAAACTTGAGAAAAAAAAAGTACAAATAATCCAAAAATGTATGGACCTAACTGTGATTTCTGCTACATCAGCTCACCATTAATGACACCATTCATTTGACTGACCAAGAGTAAATTGATTAACTACTGCACAGAGGCGGTCGCTTTTCACAATTGCACCACCATTAACAAAAATCGCCCATGAAGTCAATATTTTCAAGTACGAACAGTTAAAAAAGTCTCTCCCTCAGTTTCAATCATGACTCTCACCAGTGGAAAGGCGTGGGAGATCTTGCCGTCTGGGGGAAGTTTAGCTCCAAAGCCATACGCAGGGAAGAGTTTGTCACTGTCATAGTCCTGGATAATTTCTCCCACAGCCTTCAGGGCCATGGCATATGCATTCATTTGGTATGGACTCATATAGTGCAACGATGTCGGCTGGGACGGGTTACCTAGAAAGAGAGAAATCCCCACCAGCATGCAGCAAAATTAGCGTGAGAATGTTCTTATCAGAGAATGAAGAAAAGCAATTACACATTTATTACACTTGCAAAAAACACACATGCAGACATGATGAAGGAAACCACTATGTTGTGTAACTACTGGAATTAGTCGGTTTTTGTTTTTTGCTTTCCAAAAAAAAGACCAACTAAATTTTGAGAAACGTGGTTTTGTAGAATTGATATTACGGAGCCGTGGAAAGAAAATACATTTCAAAGAGCATCCTTATTCGTGTCTGTGTAGTTTCTTTGCTGTCTGACATGTTGTCAGTTCTTTAAGTCTGAATGCGGTCTTTTCAATTTGTGGGCTCACAACCTAGCATGAAAGGTTTTAAGCAGTGTTGTCCTGTTTTAGCCGCTAAACCCTCTTTGATAAACACATCTACATTTAAGAGCAAAATGTTTACTTGCTCCCTAATATATCCCAATCACTAACAGGTGCCATGACTAAAAGATAATCGGTATTATTCACCTTACCTGTCAGTAGTCACAACGTTATAAAATACCCCACCTTTTGCAGCTATAACAACTTTTTGTTAACAACGTTTTTCTTCCGCACCAACCCTGCTCATTAATGACTTTATGGACCTTGCTTTGTGCACTGATGCACAGCCACGTTGGAAGAGGAAGGGGCCATCCCCTGAAGCATTAAGCTTCTGTCTAAGCCTGTGAGATCTATTCCTGAAAAACAACCCCACACCATAATTATGTGGGGTGATTATATAATAAAATTATGTAAAGGGGAATATGTAATTATTGATTACACTTGGTACAATGCAGAGCAAGAGCAAGTATCGTTCTCCAGGCACCTGTCAAACCCAGCCAAGTGCATCAGACTGCCAGATACTGCCAGTGATCTGTAACTGCAGGAAACATATGCTGTGGCAGCATCCTTTACTCCATGCTTTGCAATGTGCTGAGCAGAGATAGGCAGTAATGTGTTAACGCGTTACTGTAATCTGATTACTTTTTTCAAGTAACGAGAACAAGTATTACTATTGCAAAAAAGTAATTAGATTACTGTTACTTTCCCATAAGCACGCAGCCTTACTGCGTTACTAAACCATGATTTTGTTGGTGAGAGTGTCTCATGACAATGACGTACGACGTCCGTGGCAGCAACAGACGTGTGCAGATCAACGATGAATAATATGGAGAGCGGGAGAGAGTACGAACGTGCAGCGTTTAAAGCTTTGAAATACTGACATTACTTTGAATTTGATTCTGTAATAAGTGACAAAAACATCAGCGTCTGCTGTTCACTCTGCGTGGGAAGAAAACTTCTTTCTACAGCAGAAAATTAAACTTGAAATCTGAGCGAGCACCGAGCACGCTGCCACGGGCAAAAAAATAAAATTCCTGCAAACACAGAGGTAACTCCTGGCCCAAAACTGACAAATTGTGCTGTCAATCAGCACTATCAATCATGTCTTGTAAACACTAATTACAATACAACAATAATCTGGCTGCCTCAGTTTAGTAAGTCCCATTAGCCTGATGGACTGATGAAGTATTTGAACAACCAGATTAGGTGTAATATTGCTAATCTCTCATTATTTCTTTAACAGAGCTTCTTTCTTTGAGAATTTTTCAACTTAAAGACTTTGCAATTAGGAGTTTGTTTTTTCCTGTCTGGCTGATAGGTGACTGTCATTGTGTTTCTTTGCAGGCACCTCTGTAGAATAACAGGGACTTGGTGTTCAGGCTTTTTAAAAATGCTCTTAAGTGGCTAATCAAAAAGCAACTCTCAATGTGAAGGTCATTTTTAATGGACAATCGGCTTGTGCGCTATATTCTTCAGCTGGTCCATTGTGATATTTTTAGGACATATTCCAGTTTCCATACTTTACACAGAAGTACATATTGTGCATATGTGTGATGGTTGATGATAGCATGATAGACATTTGGGAACATAATAGCACGAATAGTGTCTCCATATAGACCACCACCAAGACAGACAAATAATTGTGTAGCAGTTATTTGTCAATGCCACTGAAATTGATTTTTTCAAAAGAAGGCAAAAAGAGTCTAACTAAAGTAAAAAAGCGACAACAAATTATTTTGTGGGCAAAAAAATCTCACTGAACAGATGTGTGGACATTTCCTGCATGCATTAAGATGAAACACTGTCTTACCATTGGATGCTGTGAAGTCTATGGCTACAGTGAAGTTGAGTTGTGTCCTGGTGGGAGATTGAGCACATTGATATCAGTCACAGTGGTCAGGACTTCGTTTTGAGATTGGAAGAACATCTACAGCTCTTCATGCCAGATCGAGAAACGTACATACTGGTTAGAAATTGTAAGACATCTAAAGTATTTGAAATCTACAAATTATTAACGTATGTAGTATTGTTTTTGCCCAGTGAATTCTTCAGCTTTCTGTAACTTACATTTCACAACAAAAACAATTTTTAAAAAATGAGCTGTCCAGAATGATGAGAAAACAAATTCAGCAATATAAAACTCTAAACCAAAAGCAGTGAGGCAGCAGCAAACGCCTCACTGATGGTTTAAGAAACATCAGTGTTCAAATAAAGTGCACTACCTTGGAATGTTTTTTCTTCCAGCCTATTTGCTTGACTGCTGTAACACATTTATTGTATTAATATCACACAGTATTTATGAGTGAAACGCTAGTTACTTCAGCTAATTAGGTTACGTAGTTAACAAATCAAACGTTAAGAGTGTGACCCTGATGCAGCTGATGCAACTCAAAGCATGCTCATATTGGTCAAAGTTAGAGCTGATGCAATATGACATCATCCGCTACACTTGTCTGATCTGCCTGATGCAATCTGTGGTTGTCAGTAAACCAACTAGAAGTACAGGGGTGAAGCACTTTCTTTGAATTACTGTGTATTTTCTTAAGCTTTTGCTTTAGATTTAGTTACGACTGCTGTGTTTAAGTTGTGCTGAGAGCATAGCATACCTGACTTTCTTGTGTCATGCCCTCTGCTTTATTGCCATTTCAGTTTAATGAGTTATATTGCATTTTTCTGGCATGTTGGGGGTTAGTTATTTACATGTTATGGTTTTATAACCACATCATTATTACTGATGCTCTTTTGTTCCAAAACATTTTCAACCCCTAGTTTTATAAAGTAAAAGTATGAGAAATACACTACATTGCTGAAAGTATTCACTCATCTGGCTTCACACACATATGAGTATAACTTGAGTAAAAGTCTCCTGGGAAGGCTTTCCATGAGGTTTATGGGAATTTTTGGCCATTTCTCCAGAAGCATATTTGTGAGGTCAGACAAGACGGCCTGAATCCACTTTGCTCTGATTCATCCCAAAGGCGCAGAGTTCTTCCAGGCCCAGTTCTTCATCCATGTCTTTATGGATCTTGCTTTGTATACAGTCATGTTGGAACAAGACAAATGTTCATGTTACGCCATGACTGCCCAGCTTGTCGTGATACTCAATGTGTCTTTTTTGTTTAGAATAATTGATGTAAGTAAAAAGTATAACATCAGTCAAGGTCATCTTCAGTGACAACTCAAGTTCTCATCAATCAGAAGCAGACATTTCCTAGTGAAATCTGCTATTTTGGTTATCATTTATCTGAACAACATTGTGTGCAGTGGCAAACTAAGTGTCAGGTTCAACAAAGAGCAGTGGGGATAAAAGACAGAAGCTGTGAAGAGTCACTAAACTGTGACTCAAGAATCAAATGAGGGCTGATTTTTTTCACTGGAAAACCAGAATGTAAGCAAAGTGTGTAAACATTTTAGTCAAAGTTTATAACACATTGCACCCTTTGTACTACCTTCCAGTAATATCATTTGTGTATGTTCGACTCTACCCTAATGAAACATGACTGACTGAGTTCTTACCCTCCTCTGATGAAGTCGACAAATGTATACTCTGACTCCACTTTGAAAGACAGCAGGGTCACCTTGAAGATTGGGAGAAAGTGAAAGGGAAATGAGGAAAAATATCAAGAGAACCAAGGGAGGTTACAGACAGGCTAACAGCAAACATTATACATTTACTGGACTGATAAATCACTCCTGCTATGAGTCATCCCCATGAAACATGTGACATGACACACTGACGAGTCTTACCGTCCCTGAGTTGATGTATTTCTTCTTTTTGCCTTTCTTTTTAGGATTCAACACCTTGACCATAAGAGAGGAAACATGAAACAAGCTTTTCAACAAACAAGTCAGAACACATTATATAGTCTTTCCTCATATTTCTAAGCTAATATGAACAGGTGGCGATTTAATACTGTCCTCAAATAAAGGCTGGAATTCATAACACAAGGAATATTACTTCATGAATAATATATAACACTGAAGGAACTAGCTGTGTTTTTAATCGACACAATCAACAAAAAATAGTTTTTGGAGAAAATCTTTGTCATTTTGTGACCAAAGTGAAATGTACTTCTTGGTCTTTTTTTTCTTTTCATTTTTTTACCTCATAGACATTGAACTGGCTTTGGCCTCGGGATAGTTCTCTGTAGCTTGTGGTGAATTCTCCAATAAAGTCATGACTGGAAGGGAGAATGAGATAAAGATAACAAATAAAAAGAAAACAGTTATTGTTGTATCTGTAACATGACTTTCTATTCTTTTTGACAAAAAATGATAGTCCTTTTGTTCAACAACATGGTGTCCGAATGATTTTCTCTCTTTTTAAGCTGTGAAATACAAATATAAATAGAAAGAGTCCACTTAAAGGGAACCCCGACTATTATGACAAGTTACTCTAAATATGTTAAAAATTATCTCCACCACATAAAAACATACTTAAGAATAACTACAATTTTTTTGTTGTTATTCATTAAATATTTGTTGTTTAAAATTATTTTGGAGCCGTGGGAGCGGCCATGTTTTTTCGCACACAATGCATTCTGGGACAATGACGTGTATTGGTTGTTAGCAGTATAAGTGCTTTCGTTCAGCTAACCTGTTTTGTTTTTCATAGTGTAGCAATGGTGTCAATTAAGTTGTCTATTAGTGACCTGGTTACGACTTGGTAGACCAGCACTATCCGGTCTTTGAGTCTGATGTTATTAGCATTCTTAGCAAACTCCGCTGCAAAAGTCAAATGATCACTGAGGCATTACTGAGAGTTGAAAAACTGTCTAAATTTGTTCATCTGTAATAAAATGATCAGTGTGACTGCTCTGCCAGGTGTATCAATTAAGTTTAACATCCAGGCGTCCATGAAAACGGAATTTATGACATTTAACTGAGTTAGAAGTTAGCAGGGAGTTAGCTCGCTAGCTTCCATCTAAATACATCTAAATATAATATTGTAGAGGTAAACACAGACGACATGAGAGCTCTTGATTAACACAGCAGGTGCGCAGCTCTGGGGAGAAAGCGGTTGTAGACCCCCCAAGAACTCCTGCAGCGCTTTAACCGACGTGGGACGTGGAAAAGCCGAAACATGCCTGAGTGAGTGTCTCACTATGGGAAGGCCTCCTGCGTGACCTCATCAGAAGCTCAGATACCATTACGCCAGCCCTTACAAGCTGGCTAAGTGACACCCATATCAGGAGGGGCTAGTGCCTCCCTATATAATAGGCTGACATAGCGTCAGATGTCATTCAAAACAAGCCCACCTCTTCCTCTTCCTCACTTCCATAGCAAGGAGAGCGGTCTGGTGAGACACTCACTCATGCTACTCAGAGAACTGGGGTTATATACATAACCTTAAGTTCTCTTTCATAGCATTCGTTTCGTGTCTCACTATGGGAGGAATACTGACTGCTGGATTGCCAGACATGCCTGTTAAGAAGACAACTGTCCCCAACAGCACTTCACAGGGGAGAAGCTCCCACCTGGGAAGAACCTGCACTGAGGACTGAATGCGCTAGGTTAGGTGCTGTTACATCTAACCTGTAAAACCTAGCAAATGTGTGAGGAGGCTGAAGACCCCTGCTAGTATAGACCTGGGCAATTGCTCCTACTATCCAATGGAAGAGGTGCTGTTTAGACACAGGCTTTCCCTTATGTGGATTAGCCCAGGACACGAACAGCTTTTCACTTTGTCCGACACTCTGGGTTCTGTCGATATAAATGCGCAGTGCACGGACTGGACACAAGGTATGCAGCCGCTGTTGCTCCTCTGAGGAGAAAGGCGGTGGGTGAAAGGCCAGAACATCTGTAGGGGAACATGTGCCGACAACCTTTGGGATAAAGGTGAGGTTTAGCCGCATACTGACCCTCGTATTATCCGAGGACAACTGAATGCATGACTGATGCACTGAGAGAGCGTGGATCTCTCCTACATGCTTAGCTGAAGCTAAAGCAATTAATAGAGCTGTCATCAAGGACAGAAATTTTAACTCAACCTGTTCCAGGGGTTCAAATGGGCAACAGGAGAGTGCAGCCAATACTGTGGGAAGGTCCCACGATGGAGCCAGTGGCCTAGATGTAAGCAATTTACGCCGTGCACCCTTCATGAAACGGCATATTAAGGGATGCTGGCCAACAGTCTTCCCCTCAAAACCAATATGGCAGGCTGAAATTGCTGCCAAATACACCTTGATGGTGGAGAAGGCTTTACCCTTATCAATCAGGGCCTGAAGAAATGACAGAATCACTGCCGCAGAGCATTGAAAAGGGATGGCCTGTGATTCTAAGCACCAGCTTTCAAACACATGCCACTTGTGCTCATATAGCGTCCTAGTAGACGATGCTCTAGAACACTGAATAGTGTCGATAACACTATGAGGGAGCCCCACTGTGTTCAGGTTAAATCACTCACAGGCCAAGCCCTTAGAGCTAGCATCTCCAGGTGGGGGTGGAATATTTCCACCCGTGCCTGAGACAGGAGGTCTCTGCGTAGTGGTAACAGCCAAGGTGGGCCGCACAGCAGCTGAAAAATCTCCGCCAGCCACTGGCTTCCCTGGCCAGTGCGGGGCTATCAGGATCATATAGTGACCTCTCTCTCTCAATTTGGCCAGAGTTGGAGAAATGAGGGCCACTGGGGGAAAAGCATAGAGGAGGGTTCTTGGCCACTCATGAGCCAGAGCATCCACCCCGAGCGGCGCTTTCTGATCGTGCAGCGAGTAAAACACTTTTTCCTTAGTCATCAGGTTGGTAAGCTAACACATGCTTTCCCATCTTTTTCACCTTTGGCAATTTCTTACCATCAAAACAATATTTTACAACCTCTGTTTGTATGGCGGGCCACGGGATGTTGAGCCTAGCAGCTGCGCATGTCCTGCATGTCGAGATCCAGGGAAGACGGCGGTGTCGGTTTTTCAACCTCGCCGGTAGCCGAGGGCTTTGCAGCCCAGCTGATTCTAGGTGGAACCCTCCTCCTCCTTGTCAGACAGGAGGAGTTCTGAGTCAGCTGACTCATCTCCGTCATCATTATCATCTCCTCCCCGGGTGACTCCAACATGGGGGAAAAACTCACATTATCAGATGGGCTAAGAGACTGCTCATACCCAGCCTGGGCTTGGGGTTGCAGCCAAATCATCAGGCATCTCAATTTCTCCTTGCGCTGCAGCAGCCTCACACAGCAAAGAGTCGCCACCCGACAGGTTAGTCTGGCGAGCTAGCCTGTGCGGAGTTGTTTGCGTGGGAAAGCCGCGCAGTGGATACAGTCGTGTGCAGGTGTCAAGGCAGCCTGAGCCTGAGATAAGCCTAGGCATGCTGCACACACGGGTGTGTATCCCAGGCAGAAATCCTCTTGCCGCAAGGACAAAGTTTCGCAACTTCGTTGTCAGTCGTAGCCATGGTTAGCTAGAGGGTTGTGCACATTAGCGAGACCAACACTGAGTGTGGAGAATATTGCTATTTCTCAGCTAGCATGGGGTGAAAAGTAGTGCTACTTTTCTGCAGGTATTGCTACCTAATGTGTAAAACCGCTAGTGCCGAAGGGTATTGCTGCCTCATGGTGAAGCTAGTGGTACCTTTATTAGCAAAGTGTTGCTACATCGCTTTGGGAAAATATTGCTACTTCCCAGGGTGAAAATATTGCTACTTGACACCAGCACTAGCTACAGAACAGTATTGCTACTGCTTGTATGCTAGTGGACAACTGAAATGCTGGGAACAAAGCGCCCGGTGACCGAGTTGTTCACTCGAATCTGTGGACAGTTTAGCTTTACCACCCAATAGCACAGTTGTCGTACAGGCTTCTGTGAGAAGTGAGAAGAGGTTTTTGAATGACATCTGACGCTATGTCAGCCTATTATATAGGGAGGCACTAGCCCCTCCTGACATGAGC